CTAAAGTAGCAATAAGACCTGGCTCCACGGGATAATATATCGGTTCATGTAATTTTGCATTTTGACCTTTCCTTTATTTATTTCTCTGGCCTTTCTGCTCATGCTTTGGCCCCCATCTTGAACTTTGCTACATAAATGTGATGCAAAGGAATTAAAAGCCGTTTTCCATTTGCTGTTAAGTGGGACAGAGGAATGTGCTCATAACTTAGCAAAAACACTGTCTGATGACAGAACTTACATAATCCTAGTGGAGCTGAGTGGGCTGTGGGCAAAGTGATTTGTCTTGCTCCAAGGGTTTTTGAAAGAAGCAATAGGGGGTGTGGGATGAGAATGGTGCCTGAAGCAGAAACTGAAGTAAGCAGATAGGTTTGTGATTTCTGTCACTATTGACAAGTGGTGAGTATAGTGTTGTTCCTTTCAGGCCTCAATATTAGTGCTCATCTAGCAGAGCTGATTCTCTGGGTAGAGCTAACTTGTAGTCACATGACCACTCCTGGAAGCACAGGAGTCTGGGAAATGAGTGACTGCTGTGTGCCGGGCAGGAAAGGATAAGACTGGGAGTCTTGCTCCAGAGATCATCTGAAAAGTGAGTTTCCCAAACCTGCAGGCAGCCGCACAAGACACCTTTCCTCCCCCAGAGCCATCTTGGCTTTTCCCTTTGTAACATGTGAAAGTCATTCTGTCACAGCATGTGAGGAAGGTGCCTGCATTCTCTTAAACATGTACATAATATTCCATGCCGCATGCGCTGCTTTCATTTCATAATTTCCTGTGGATGATAGCAAAATAAAAGAACAAAACAACAATAAGAAGCAACTGAGTGTCTACAGTCTGGGTAGCTTATAAACAACAGAAAGTTACTTATAGTGATAGAGGCTGAGATGGATGTCTAAGATGTAGGTGCCGGCAGAGTTAGTGCCCAGACATGGTCAGGGTTCTGGTGGCATCCCTCTCTGCAGGCAGAAAACCTGGAAGGGGGAAGGCGGCTTTCTAAGGCTTTTTTCATAAGGACATTAATGTGGATCCTGACAGTGCCACCCATCCTGATCACTTCTCAAAGACCCTACTTTTTGATGCCATCACATTGGGGGGTTAGGCTTCAGCATGAGAATTTTGGGTAGCCACAAACAGACTGCAGGTCTCAAAGAAATACTATAAAGGATTAGGAAAAACCAGTTAGGCTAGGAACTTCGAACGAAGCAAAACAGCAAATTCAAATACTGCACCTGCCTGAGTAAGACTCTATGGGAATGGCAGCAGTGGAGTGCAAGAGTCCCAGCCACTTAACATGACGCAGGAGAAAGGCAAATGTTTTTTTAGTTGTTTGTTTTTAGATACATAGCTTAATGAATGTTAGTGTACTATACAGTTGTGTAAATACCATCACAGAGGCCCATCATGCCACAAAGTCTTCTTTGGCCTCATTGAATATTCATCGAAGATTTTCAGCTCAGGAAACCAGTGATCTATCTGTCTTCTATCATTAGAATTTGCTCTATTTTTAGAATTAGATATAGCTGTATATTGCTGCTCCAGGAGCTGGAATTTCTATACCCTACATAATTATTTTGGGAGACCTCAAGTTGTTACCTATAACTGTATTTTGTATATTTCTATATAATACCCTGTGGGTTGGGGATATTCTTTTGTCCATTGTTAGACATATAGCTTGCTTTCACTTTTAGCCTTATTATGAATAAGGCTGTTATGAACATCACTGTATACACAGTTTTTAATTTCTGACATATATATATAAACACATATATACACACACATACACCTGTTGGATTATAAAGGCTTTTGTGGCAGCTTTTTAAGGAGCTGCCAAATTGTCCCATACTGACTGTAACTTTTTTTCTTAATTCCATAGCTATGCATGAGGATTCCTATTTCTCTGTATCTTGTTCAATACTTGTTATTTTATCTTTTTTATAACTACCATATAACAGGAGGTAATGATATCTCCCTGTAATTTTGATTTTCATTTCTTTGGTGGTGAGCGATATTAAGCATCTTTTCATGTGTGGATTGGCTCTGTGTCAATCATACATTTCTATCTGATTGAGAGACGTGTCAGCTCAAGTACATTGCCCAGGTTTTTACTGGGATTTTTCTGTTGAGTTGTGACAGATTTTGACATTGACCCATATTAGTATGCCATTTAGGATCAATTAATAAATATGCATTTAATATACTGAAGTTAGTTGACAAAGCTTCACAAAGCTTAGTGCCTATACTTTTACATTTCTGTCCAGATTTTTGAAGCTTATGAAGTTGAAAAGTGAGGAATTTGATCATTCAGCACATTATTATTTTCTATGATATCAATACATACATATGTAAATACACAGATATCTATCTACAGTCATGTATTTTTCAGGGAGTAGTGAGAAGGCTCCTTATTTATTTGGTATAATTTCTCAGTTATCTCCAATATTTTGGATCACTTAAATATGAAGTAGATAATTTCCAGTCTGATGAACTTTACCATTAGGCTATTCATATTTCTTTTCTTTTTTGACTTAATACAGCTTTATTTTTCCAAATGTACCATTCAGTGGACCTGTTCACGCATCTTCACCAGCAGCTGGCACAGCTCTACCCTTGGTGTTTCTGGTGTAAATTACTTGAGCTCTGTTGGTTGAAACCAGTTTGATAAATATTCTGTAAAATGATCCGGTCCTGGAATTTATTATTATTATTTAGCTTTTCTTTTTCCTGTTCCTCTTCTTCCTCCCTTTCTTGGTTGATTTATTTACTTGAAAGGCAGGGTTAAACACAGAGAGGAACAAACACAGAAAAATCTTCTACGTTCTGGTTCAGTCCTCAAGTGGCCCCAATGGCAAGGTGGACCAAAACAAAACTGGAGGTCCTAGCCTCTTGCCTGAGTGTAAGGGCCCGAGCGCCTGGACCGTCCACTACTGCTTTTCCAGGCAGATTGCTGGATTCAAAGTGGAGGCAGTAGGAATGTAATTCAGCACTCTTATTAGTATTCTGGCATTACAAGTGGTAGCTTTAACCACTATGCTACAACATCAGGGCCCTGGAGATTTGTTGTAGAGAAGCTTTTCTGTCAAGATTTTAATTTCTTTACTGTGAGAGGGCAATCCAGATAATCTATTTCATCTTAGTTGAGTTTGGCAGTTTATGGTTTTCAAGAAACCAATTCATTTCTCTTAAGTTGCTAAATTTATAAGTTGTATATATTGTTACTGCATTACCTTTTTATTAAGTGCAAAGTCTATTGTAATATACCTTGTTGTTCCTGTTAATAAATATTTGGTTCTCTCTGTGTCTTTCTCTTTCTCTTGCAAGAGACTTTTCAAGTTCACTTTTTTTAAAAGACGATTTTTTTTCTTCTATTTTCTTTATTTTCTTATTTGAATTTTATTTTGGTTCATCCATATACTTTTTTATTGCCTTTTTGTTTATGTTACTTTATGTGGTTTTCTCAAGGAAGACATCTGAATTTTTAATTTAAGATCTTCTCTCATATTTGAGGATTTTCCCTATTATCATTCCATTATTTAGCTTCACTGTGTCACAGAGAACATATTTTGTATGTTTTCAATTCTCTTAAATTCAGAAGTTTGTTTTGTGGTTCTGGTTCTGGCTTATCTAGATAACATACCATACTGAATAAAACATAGTCTGCCTCTGTGGATTAGCTCCTTTTGCTTGACTTTGTCAAGAGCAGCATTCTTGTTGATTGTTTTTGTCTAGCCGTTTTCTGTGCTGCTGAGGGGCAAGTGTTGAAATTCTCAATTATAATCATTGGTTTGCCTCTCTCTGTTTTATCAGAATATTTACTTCAAGTATTTTGAAATTTCATTGTTTGATACAGAAACAATTAAAAATTGCGTGTGTTCCTGTTTATTTGCCTTTTAATTATTGCATAATTGTTCTATGTCTCTAGTGACTTTCTTCATTTTAAAGTAAATTACATAAGATGTTAATGGAACAATTCTTTTTTGTGATTAATATTTTTGTGGAAGGTCTTCCGTTATTTTTCAAGTATTGAATCATTGCTGAATTTAAGATTTCTTGTAAGCATCATACCGTTTGTTCTATCAGTTTGCTGTGCTCATCTCTTGGGCTTCTACCTTTTAGGTAGTTATACTTTTGTCCATCACTTTATCATTTCCCTGTGTGTTTCATCTGTTTCTTACCCTTCTGCCTGGCTCATATTGTTCGTGTTCCACGTTTCCATCTCTATTTGTGTTCAATTGTGTGTGTGTGTGTTTATTTTTCTATAGTTGTCAAGTGCTATGAACATTACTATATATATATGCAATTTGTAACAGTTTGCTGGTATCAGTGTTTTTCCATGTCAAGTGAAGTCAGGGCCTTATTTCCATTTGTGTCCTTTCTGTCTTAAAATTTGTATTTTCAGTGCCTTGAATATTGGATGGCATTACACCTTTTATTTGACCAACTGTAAAACTTAAAATGGATGTTTCTGCTACTCCCATTTGTTCTTTCTCATTTCATAGTGCACTGAAATTCTTTTTCTTAGAATGAGCTTCCTTCAGCTATTATTTAAAGATAGGATTGCTGGTGACAAATTTGCTTAGTTTTCATTTGCTCAAGAATATCTTTATTTACCATTTCCTTATGAGATGCATTCTCTGGACATAGAATGTGCAGTCAAGAATTCTTTTGTTTCATATATTGAAAACTTGTAAACTTTCTCCTTGATTCTGTGATTTCAGTGGAGAATTTTGTGGTTTTTCTGTATTGATTTTTTCCTTCTGGAAAATACTTTTACCTGATTTACTCTGAATGTGCTCAACATTTTTATTTGTCTATAATTTTCAGAAATGAGTTATGCTTATCTTGTGAGTATACTGGAGTTTATCTGACTTTTAGTTTTCTCAGATTTGCTCTCCTGGCATTGAGGAGATTCTCAGGGCTGCATGGAGAAAGAGCATTTCCCAGCCAAGGTACTGATGCGGGGGCAGTCCTTGGAGGCAGACTCAACTTCCTGACACCACTTGCAGAAGTTACCTAGATAAGCCACTTGTGACAGAACACCCTCTGACTATGACCTTTTTCCCATTCCTGTTGCTACATACCGCATGGTACCTTTCGGTGGGAGACAAGTGTCAGTGGGACTACTGATGCATTCCCCTGGTCAGCGCCATCTGACGTGTTTGGTACCGTTAACAGGAATCCTGTTCAAAACAAAGAGGAAAATATCAACTGAAGCCACCTTCTACTGGGTCAGAGGTCAGAAAACACGAGGCTAGGTGACTTCCGCTGGTGGATGTTTGTATGAGCACCAGTTAGCCTTACTCTTTCTACCATCTTGGATTCTTCATTGGTTACCTCTGGAATGATTTCCATGATTTATAATTGTACTGAAGGCTATATCACAGATCAGAAATCTGAGTTTAATGTTGTTGATAGGATGCTTAAAGAATAAGTGCATTGCTTGTATTTTTCCAATAGTTGAGGTCTGATAAGGAGCATGTAGATTCCTAAATTATTTGTTAGCAACTGCTCATAGTAAATGAGTCAAGGTGTTTGTTGTTTAGATACATATCATTTTCCTCAAATCTTTTTTCAGAAAGACATAAAATAACACTGAAACATAGTAGATGCCCAGTAAACACTCGTTGAATGAATTAAATTATGGGTGAAATTTAAATAATCTCCCCCATGATTTCATTGGATAATTCATATGGTTTGCATAAAGGCTCAATGATTTGAAATTAATATCACACACATTTTTACTGGCTTTTCTTGTTTATTTTCTTGATTCTGGGCGTGGAAGAATTCCTTATAAAACTATAATTACCACAGAGAAAGGAAAATCTGAATGTATCATGTCACTGTGCTAAAGCTCAGAAAGTTCTTGGAAAACAAGTGAAAATGGATGAATCCTAGAACAAGCAGACTTCACATGGAGATCGGAGGGTTTCTGTGGACTGGTCCAGCTCAGACGGATGAGCCAGCCTGCTCTGTGAGTTACCGGGAAACATCAAGGCTCCACCGTGAAGGTCCATTTAGGAACTGGAGCTCCCACTGCTCTGGTAAAGCGGAAAGGCAAAGGTGATGGTGCAATCTGATCAACAGAGGATAGAGTGCAGACCGATTGTCCTTTATTTCACTAAAACCCTAAGCTGTCTGCAGAAGCCTAGGAAGAACGAAATTCCACACCAGGTCATCACTTACATGCTTCTCTCGGTGAATCCGAGTAAATGCCTTCTTGTCTGAGGTCTAGAGCAGCTTGCAGAACATCGCTGAGAATTTGCTGCTCTTGCTGCTCCTGGCTCCCTTTCTGCAAAAACGGTTTTCCTTCTTCATGCCCTGCAAGGTGTTTTCCTCTTCAGACACCCAGTTCAGTCTCAGGCCTCGCCTAGATCATCAACCATTGTTGATCACCTTGTGATTCTCTTCTCCAGGGGTCAGCCAAGGCACCCGCTGCCCTGTGCCACAGTCCTGCATTTGGTTCTTGACAGCAGACCCTTGCCAGGGGCTGAGTCTCTGCATTCCACCACTGATGAGCTCCAGCATGAGAAATTAGAGGGGACTGGCACAGGCCTCTGTCTACAGACTTCAAACACTCACAGCAGATGAGGCCTGGTGCTGGTTAAGGGCCATTTGCAATTGTAACTCTTTGTCTCAGCTGCATTTTTTAATGTTTTCCATTACCCTTTCTGCCACACTTCCCTCACACATGCCCTGGAGATGGATTGTGCAGGCAGACACTGTCTGCAGTACCTCAGTGGGAGATGGAAGCCTGCCTTCATATTGCACATGTGGTATTCTCGGGATGTGAGGAGATTACAAGTGACCCTTCATCAGTTGGATATCAGGCTTTTCCATCCTGATTCCCTTCTGACTGATAGAATGTTTGTGAGACTATAGTCTTTACATGAAAGCAGAGGAACTAGTTCCACAAAGGTGGGGTTCCCTGTAGGAAATCCACCTGGGAGCAAGGCCATACTAGAAACCTAGTTCTCAGGGGACAGTCACATTTCAGAGATGGAATGCTGTATTCTAGCTTAATTGCTTCCTTACAGCCAGGGGGAACTACTCAGCTGCCTGCAGTCATCCACCAGGACAATCACTGGGTAGAGCTGGGGAGCTGGGCTGCCCAGGGATCAAGCTCAGAGGTGGTTTGAGGTTGTCAAAAGGGTTTTCTCATCACTGTTGCTCCTTTGCTTCAGTGTGACATTTTAAAAGAGTTTTAGTTTTAAAAGGCCTCGTTGAACTGCAAGAGTATCAAGGAGATATACTATTTTGGGGGATGAATTTTAGAAAGTTACACTCAGGTTGCGAGATGGGGTGTTGGGGACAAGAACATGGCTTCTGCTTAAATTTGATTCATTTTGACAAAAGACATTACTATCATTCAAAAATGTTTTTATACTAAAACGTCTTTAAAAATACTGAATATTGTAGAGTTCAATGGGAGACTTACTTGCATTTCAGCAATAAACAGGATACTTGGCAGACATTTGTTTTCACCTGTATTCCCTGGAATACTCATCTTTGTACCCTGCCTTTGGGTGCAGTGTAGGAATGCAGAAGAAGTGTCTTGCTTATACCTCTTAGGGGTTGTTCAGTTCAGAGATAGGGGTCCTCCATGAGGCTGAAAGCTACTGGCAATAGGGAAGGAAGTACTGCTTTTGGAGAAAGAATATTGCTTTCAAGTAACATGAGTCAAATCATTGGGGGTAGATGCATTAATAACTTCTCATCTGGACTGAATGTGTTTAGAAAACTGATTGGGAGCTCACAAATGGATTTTCTGTTTTTATTCCTTTTGCCCTAAAAATCATCAAGGTTCAACCATGAAAATGATCTTCCATCAAACCCGACTTTGCAAGAAAGGTATGAAAGAAGCATATGTGCAATTGTAGAATTCCTTATAGCATGTATAATATGTTTTCTTCATACTTTATCTTCTTTTTCTTCGTGGTAAGTAAAACCAATTTAGAGATGAGAAAGTGAGGTTGGGAAAGTTCCGGGATTTGTTCAGGGTGACTTGAGTGGTGGAGATAGCAGATCAGACAGCACCAACCCAGCTTCCTTGAGTTTGTATCCTGACTTTCTCCACTGCTACCTAAAATACATATAGTAGTGGACTTCCATGGCTTATAGTTCCACGAAAGAAAGACATATGAAGGATGCAATGAAGAGTTTAGAGATACTGGTGTTGTTCATGTGACATCGTATAACACACACCTGGAACTTCGACAGCTGTGAAACTTAATTTGTATATAAGTCCAAAACCTAACATCTTTGAAATGTCATGTTTTGCCACAGGAATGTAATAACGTTTTCCATTGGACTTTATATAGTGTATCCTGACTTTTCTATGCAAATGTTCAGAAATGCAAAAAGAAAACAAAAAAATCTTATGTCATATTGATTTTTTTTGCATCAAGATGCTCCCTTGGTGGCTTTTGTATGTGAAGTAATTTACATCTGAGTGCAATTGAGAGAGAAAAACACAGGATTCTGTCATTCTGGGAAACTTCTAGAGGAAGCTACGCCAGGCAACTGTGTACTGTTTCCGTGGACTAAGGGAATTCCTGCATGCTGCTATGGTGCGCTCTCCAGTTGTGTGTGCTCTGGGAGTATCTCTTCATTTCCTGTTCTGTGTTAACAACCAAAGTATGGAGGTTTATCTCTACAGCGCCCAGAACTCAGTGTCACTCTGTCATCCTATCAATTTGCCATCTGTCCTTTGGCAAGTGTAGCCTAAGTAGTAGACGTTAAGTATTAACAGAGGATGGGTTAGCTTGTTAACTTTGCTGATGTCTAATCCAGTCCTACTTCATTTGATTTTATGGCCTTAAACAAGAAGAACAGACATACCACCAAACTCAAACACTGTCCTGGCCTTTTAAGTAATCTCTGAGACCTAATCTCTAAACTAAGAAATATGCTTTCCTTAGAAACAACACCTTGACCTGAACTGAGTTCTTGATTTGAACACAGATACAATAGTCATTAAAGACTGTAGTCTTTGTTTTTTCCCCTTATAGAAACCTGGGTCAAGCTGTTTCAAAACCAGAGGCATACAAAAGTTTCTTTTTAAGACTCCTCTTATCCAGTGAAATATTCTCTGGCTCATTTACATTGTAAAGCTTCATTCTCCTCCTACCCCGCAAGAAGCACACTTTAACATGCACTTATTGGAAAAACAAATCTTGAAATTTGGCCATTAGGCTGGCTGCCTATAAACCCGTCAGTTTGCACAGCTCCTCTCAGGGGTACCCTGCAGGTGCCAAGGGTCCAGCAGCTGTGGCAGTTACACACTGATGAATTTAGGGAATGGATGACCAATGAGATACACTTTACAACTCAAGCTGAAGCTTATGTTAAAAATTAAAAGGACTTTATAGATGGCTTTTGTTTCCCCCCTGAGTCTTCTAAATCAAGACGATAGCTTGCAGCAGTCTGCATATTGGGTATTTGTTTCATGGCCTGGGTCTGCAAAACCAGAGGGCCAACACACTTGGCTCAGCATGGTTTGGAATGAGGAGGGGAGAGGGCTGCACCAGAGGTCAGACTCCTGCAAAAGAAGGTATATATGACTTTTCCAAGTGGGTTTTGACAGCATTTGATGTCACCTGTGTTTTTAAGCAAACCTCCATGTAGCTTAATGCTTTGCTAAGACAGCAACTCTGACAAATTTAACTGTTAATGAAGTAATATGTATCTTGCTGTTGCTCAGAGTGACCCAGCTTAAACACATGAACAAATAATTCTCTAGTGTAGTGTAGAGGATGTAGATGATTTGCATGTAAATAAGGAAAGATGTAATAAGAACACAGAAGATATAGTGCCATTGCAAGTGGGAGCCTAGCTTTGTAGCAATTATGAAAAAGCCATTGCACTTTATCAGCTGTGGGACCTGTCCATGTATACGCACTCGACTGTAAACTAATCATACCTATAATTTAAAAAATAATAAGCGACTGGAAGTGTTTTATTTTTGAATAGAAGCAACTAGCTTGTCTCTTTTATTTCAAATATGTTAATCGTTCACAATGACTGTATTGAAAACAATTAACCTTATCATTGATTCATCATGTGGCCCGAAAAACAAAACCCATACTTACTGCTCTAATATTATCCTTCCATAATTCTTTACAGCACTTTCTGAAGCAGCATCCGTCAGTGTAGAACATGTGGGGTAGATGTGGCCAGAGTGTGTGGCGTAATTGGAATGTTCCCTGCGCAGCAGCCTTGCCTGTGAAGGTCACTGAGAGGAGCAGAGTCCTTCCAGCAGCCCATCTCCTGAAGAACCCAGGCAAGGTCTTTGAAGATGTGCATGTTCACTATCAGCAGTAAAATGGCAAAATGCGGAAATGTTAAAGCAACTCCACAGAGCCAAACTCCCAGAAACAAGTAAGCCTGCATATTGAGCCTAATTTCCCTCGGAAAGACTTTGAAGTTTGTTTCAATCTGTGAAATTCTAGTAACGGTCTAAATTTGCTCCTCAACATCTGGTGGAAATAATTGCAACAGCAAATGGTATGGATATGTTCATTTGTGCAATTATTTGTTCATTAATTCAAGATAGTTTTATTGAAAAGTGCCTCTGTGTAGGAAAGGGGTCTCAGTGTTTCAGTGCCTGTAGATGTGAGCAAGGAAGTCTTGTTTTCTAAGACTTCATGATGCATTCAGGACAAGCTGCTGCCTGAATTCAGAATCACCATGTGCATGGTGCTCCGAGACAAGCACCGTGAGCTATTTCGCATTTACAGATGAAAATGGAAATATGAGGGATGATGTATGTTTGGGACTGAATGAATAAAGATTTATAAAAAGGCTTATTTGAGGCCTGAAGGATATGTTGAAATATTATAAACCACATAGGTTAAAATATAAGAGAAGGTACTCCTGCCAAAGATACAACTTAAATAAACATGACAATGGCAAGGAAATTCAAGGCATTTTCGAGCACAGGGAGGATTTTGATTTGTTTAAATCCCGCAATATGTAAAAAGAGTAACTAGTGATGAAATTACATAGGAAATTTTATGGTGAAATCATAGAATACATTGAATGCTAGGCAAAAATATTTAAAATAATTTAATTCCTCACTCATGTACTCAACAGAAATCTTTATGTTTTTCACAAGAGTCTACATAATTTTCATTTATATGGTTCAGCAATGGGCAATAATCCATATATCCGTTGGTGGATGTATGGTTAAAATGTTGTATATCAAATTCTGGAACATTGCCTAATAACAAAGATGAACAAAGTATCTTTACATGCGATAATGTGTATGGATTTCAAGGAAATTAAACCAAATAAAAAAAAACCTGTCTCAAAAAGATTTCATTCTATATAATTTCACACAGAAAATTCTTGAAATGAAAACAAACTGAGCAGATCAGCAGTATGCAGAGGTTGAAGCAATAGTGTAAGGGAGGAATCTCAACTGAACTTGAACTATGGTTATGCAACAAGGTGGAGGAATCCACCATGGGGGGAGGGGTATGGGAGGGGTGGGGGGAATCCCCAGCACCTATAAAACTGTACTACATAATACAATGTAAGCAACAATTAAAAAAAAATAGTGTAAGGGAGGGATATGGCCATGACAGTAGAAGAGAAACAAAAAATCTATGATGAAACTACTCTGGATCTAGCAGTGATAGTCACATGAATATGGATCTAGCAGTGATAGTCACATGGGATAAAATTATGTAGAATTCAACACAGACACACACAAAGAAAAGGTTAAAGCAGTTGAACACAAATACATTTCTTGTATAAAAAAGAATATTCTTTAAAAGCATTCTACAACTCAATGCTCACTTTTTTTGAGGTGTCACCTCCATGATTTCATTAAGAGACACAATTATGAAAGTGTAGCATCAAAAGTCACACAATAGCCTTGCCTAACACAAAGTTAAGGATGTTTTCATAAGAAAGATAATAAGACTTAAATAAGTCCCAAATGGTCAAATACAGGTTTAAAAAAAAAGGAAGAAAAGAAATAAAAGGAAGGAACCAAGGAAGAGAGAAAATGAAAAGGAAAGGAGAGAAAGAAAGAATTAAAGAGAAAGAAAAAAAAAGAGAAAAAGAAAGAGAGGAAGGATGGAAGAAAGAACGGTAACTGATTAGCATATGGGAGAGAAATGTAGAAAAAAAAGTCCAAAGAAATCTCAGGAGGAAACAGTACAAATTCTGTAATTCTGTCTTTTGTGCTATCTTGGTAATCCTCCCCCTCTTTTTTTTAACCATAGATGATTGTGATAATTTCATATATGCCATAATATCTAGGGGTAAAGACAAATTTCTTCATGTTTGCATTCTCCTTGTAGTACAGGATCTGGTCAACAGAATCTGTGACCTTGAGTTGGGCTTGTAGATCCCCTGCCCTCTAGACTAGCTAGTGACCTTGAATGTTCTTTGCACCAACTTTGTGTACTACTGTATTGAAGGGCCAAGTGCAATAGTTAGTAGACAGATAAAAGGTGTGACAAGGACAGAGTTTGGGAAGAACAGGAACAAAAGCATCTATACCAATTGGCAAGGATCATTCTAGGCTAGTAGATCAGGCAAATGAAATCTGGTGCCAGGGACTCAGTCACTACTCTGGTCAAGACTCTGCAAGAGCAGGCATCAAATGGTGAACATTTCTATTGAAAAGAATTTCATGTTGTGAGGTCAATTTCTGTATTATTGCTTCACACACATTGATCATTGTTAATGAAACAAGTTGTGCAGCCATGATACTCCTATCTAGAACATTGGTTTTTACGGAATGAATGATGCTTGGGCTTTCAAAACTGAAAGGTCTTATGTTCCTCATTTATTCCTCATTTATTCATAATTCTTTACCCATCAACATGGGTCATGATCTGGTCTTCATGTAACTTCCAGCAGCAGTCCACCTGCTCACCACCCTCATCTCCAAATTCATGGGAGCCCACATTAATGGCTTGCTTTGAGTTACACAGCCAATAATTGGAACAACGAAGGACTTCTCAGATTTGAACATTACTGTTAACATTTGGGATTACCCAAGAAATTTATATTGTTAATTGTCCCTTTAGTAAATGTCCTGTGATTCACTGCTTTAATATTTTGCTCAAATTAGTAATAAGCTTTGCTGAACTCTTCATATATTTAAATGCTGACTTGTAAGTGCTGAGAATATAACAATGAGCTAGAAAATTTTGTTATCTTCTCTTTTCAGTGTTGAATGTTTTGGAGAGAAAGGAAAACAATTAGATGAACGAAAGAGTACTCTCTTGTAGTCCACATTTGAAAAAGGCCCAGTGAACCCATGGGGCAAGCATTTCAGGCTAGCTTTCTCTGTTTTTCTCCTTGCACAGTCATTCTCATTGGAATCCCATCACTAAAATCTCTTTACTTTCTTACTTCTCTTAGAACTAGATACCCTGGACCTTCCTAGGCAGAATAAATAATTCACATAAAACAAATACCAATAACAAGATGATATGAAAGAAGTAGTAAGTGCATCTGTTTTTGATATTTTAGGCTGACAAATGTGGAAATTAAATGATCAAAACCTCAAGATACAGGTGTATACAAACAAGTTCAAGAAAGAAGAGCAAACCTTTACAACACAATGGTCCCAACGGGAGACTTTTGTGCTCGATGAAATAAGCAAATCCCAAAAGGACAAATATCATATGTTCTGATATAAAGTGACCTTAACACAAAATTCAAAACAATACATATATAGGTAAACAAGTATCTAAATATATTGTCACAGATGAAGTCTATAATGGAGATTAACATTCAAGGGAGTGAAGATATGTTTCAGTAATCATCTACTCCCGAATAAAAGCAGGATTCCCAATGAAACAAATATATCTTTACAATATAATACTAGATTTTCTACTTTTGTCTATACCTATAATGCCATGGTTCATGTAAATAGCAGAATGCTAAACTAGTAACTGTTACTAAAGGACTACACTACTGTAATAATATGCGGGGAATGTTGGGAGAGAGAAATGGGGAGTGAGGAAGAGAAAGAAAGGGGGATCCCTATATCTACAAAATCGTATCATAGAAAGCAATAACAATTTCTAAAACCTCAAAAAAAAAGGAGCAAAAATTTCATTCAAGGACTGATTTGAAGATAACTGACTATAAAACTTAGAATAACATAAACAGAGTGCCTCCAGAAAGCTTGCTAGAGGTACAAGAATTTCTGACGCCTTGGAAAAGGGGCAGTTAAATATACAAATTAACAGATGCAGAGTAACAGTACAAGCATGGTGTAACATAGGTACGTGGGGATTGAGCTGATTCAGAGGATAAGTGGGATTATTCATTTATATGATAACTATGAGAGTCTAGAAATATGGCTCTTCTGAACACAGATAAATGATTCGAGATGGAAAAGAGTACTTGAAACACTGTGAGAGTATGGAAGTGGTGAACAAAAGCTAGAAGGTCTGTTTGATGGGAAGCAGAATAAATGAAGTAGGAAGTGGTGTGGTTCCAACTCCTACATTGTGTATGGGGAGAGAGAACTCTTCACTCTAATATTGAGAGCAATCTGTCCACATGTGCCGAGCGGGAACAGAGTCAAGGGGACTGCTTTTGCAAAGAGGAATAATTGACTGTGGGCACATATGACTAACAGATTTCTGAGTTAGACATATAATAAACTTAATATGGAACATATTATATAATTACATTTTTATTATACAAAAGAGCTAACAAAGCACTTCTATGGTCCCTAAAGGAATTACACGAAGATAATAGTAAACACCTATATCTCTCTAGTATTTTGTACATTCACATGAATTTTTTCATTAATAACCTAGATAAATACATTCCTACTTGTGATTTAGAGTGGAAGGATAGACACTTGGGAGGCTAATGAGTGGCAAAGGTAGCATTTTATAGGAAACCACCTGACTTGTATCAGAGCCCAGCAGTGCCTTCTGGGCTGTGAACAAGTCCTCCTGTGAGGCCAGAAAATATCTACCCAGAGGCCAGAACAGACAAAAACAGTGCAGTTAGGTCATTTAGAGACTAGAACCTGTGGGGATCATGATGGCTGAAAGGCTGAATTCAAGGTAATGACCAGCAGGATCCCTTCATGAGGGACACACAACTAGAAAATACACAACTACAAGCTTCTTGTGGGGATGGATAGTGTGTCAGCCATGGGCTAAGTAGCAGCTTTGAGCTACGTGGGCTTTCATTTATTCTTCATAAGAACCCCAGGAGAAAGCTTAAATTTATGAGGAAGTAAAAAAAAAAAAAAGATTCTTTAAAAAGACCTACAAGGGCCCAGCCTGGTAGTCTATCAGGATCCCATGCCAGTTCTAATCCCGGCAACCCTGCTTGCCATCCAGCTCCCAGCCTGTAGTTTGGCAAAGCAGTTGAGGACACCTCAAAGCCTTGGGACCCTGCACCCCATTTGGGAGACCCGGATTGGCACAGCTCCAGCTGTTGTCACTTTGGAGTGAATCAACAGATGGAAGATTTTCTCTGTGTCTCCTTCTCTCTGTATATCTGACTTTGCAATAAAAAAGTAATATATCTTAAAAAAAAAAGCTGAGAAGAAAGGCATTACCATATCTGCATATTTTCCATGTGAAAATGAGGCACAAAGATCTATGACTTAGAAATTAGAAAATTTTGACTAGAAACCAATTCTGTACCCTTAAAATCCACACCATTTATTTTTACAAACCATTGTAAATGTTATCATGTCTAATTAGGGTTGATTGTATTTATTTGAAGAAGTAGTTGAGGGTACTTTGACAATATTATTCTTTGGGAGTAAAGTACATATATAGTTGCTATAATATGATACTGGTATTTTGGTGGAGCACATGTTTAATTGTTGAAGCAATGTTATAAGCTACTGTTTTAAAGTAAAATTCCTGATGTTCTAAAGAGGCAACTGGTTGACACAGAAATTGAGGTACTAGTTCGGAGGGAGTGGTGTGACTTAGTAGAATGTCCATGTAATATAAAGTTTTGAAATAAATTGAATATTATTCTGGTTTAATAGACATTAGATGAGTTACAATTATACACTAAAATGGATGCTAATTAGTAAATGTATGAAATTTTATTACTCTCAATAAACATTCTGCATGAACACATATGGAAAATATTGCTGATTTTAAGTCATCCAAATGTTTACCAAGTGCCATCTTTAGCCACTACATTGGCCTTCAATTATTATTCATTCTGAGCCAATGGCATCAGTACTAGGGAGATATTACCACTATCCAGCAAATTGCCTTAGATGAAAATCTAATACAATTAACAAGATAAAGCCCAGAACAACATGCTGTCAAATATCCCAAGCTGTCAAGAATTGCTTCTATTTTCTTGGATTTATTTTGTTTGATCCTTGTCCCAGTGAGCTCTCTGGGCTTGTTCAAATCTCTGTCGTCTTTCCACCTCTCTATCAACACTGACTTTCGGTAGAGTTCCTCTCTTTAGATCTGTTTTATACTATTTTGAGGACTAGGTTCCCAGATGTGTTCTACCAAAATACCAGGCCTCCAGCTTGGACTGTGGGGTGTTTTCTGGAGCCCCTCCTGTATCTCTAGCACATTATTAAACAAAACACAACCTCATCATAGGAAAAATATTCATCTGGATTGCTTTATTGAAGCCCAGTGGCAATACCAAGGATAATAAGAATTTAAGTGTCCAAGAAGACTCACTAAAGCAGCTAGAGGGACTGCTCAAGAGAGAATTCCTATTTCTGCTATCAGAGTCACAGGGGTGACAAGGGAATTTTTCCTGGTAATTTTTGAACATTAGTTTGGTACTTCCCATCACTCATCAGAAGCCTTCACTTGGAAATTATTTTTGAAAGTTACTATAAGACCTGTTTTTCTCAACAGGTACGCTCTGTCCACCTTAGTCCAATGCATATAGCTGCTCTGGCACAACCAGCATGGAGTCTCCCATCAAAAGAGACTTGTTCACTGTTCGTGTCCTGATGGATCACTCCACGATGAGTGTGTGCCAGCCAGTTCTAGCTGGGCGTTCTGTTACTTGGTTAGTTCTTCAGGCTGAGAGGTAAGTCGGATTTTCAAGTTCTCTGTTTCTCTTCAAGGCTGGCTTGTTCTTGCTTTTTCTTCAGTACTCCCTGCTTCCTCTAGTGACTGATTAAGGTTCTGGCATTTTGCCTTCTGAATTTTCTGAGAGCTTGTCATGACTCAATGTGATGGTGACTATTCTATTTCATTTTCTAAACCATTTATGAGGACAGTGAATGGTTTTGATTTGACTCATCCAAATCTTATTATTTCCCAGTAGATTATTTTTTTTCCATTGCCTTGTTTGGCAAAATCCCTGATTTGCCTTTGGTTAATTCAAAGAATAAGCCAAAGAGATGTTCTCAGGTGTCCTTAATCTTAAAACTGATAATAAATTATGTCATTATTAAATAAACTTGTCTTGCTGCCAAGAGCTAAAAAAAAAAAAAAAAAAGATGTTTGTTTCAATAAAGAGCTCTATATTTCTAGCCTCTTTTAAATCTTGCCTGGATCTGTAGGACATTAGCACATTAAAGGGAATCTTCAGAGTGACTAAGAGCCTCCGTTCCTAAGACCATTCTCATCATGCTGCTTAATGACTGCTCCTTTGGGTCAGGGCTTGGAGGAGAAGCACATTTAGAGAAGGAGTTACGGATGGAAAACAGCTGAAGACAAGTCGATGGCGTGAGTCACATGATCCTGAGGTAAAGCAAAAAATAATAACAATTAGACTTGGGAGGAAAGAGTCAAATTAGTTTAGGGACTTATTTCTTAATTGATTGAGAGAGAGAGAGAATCTTCAATCCACTGGCTTACTCTCCAAATGGCTGCAGCAGTAGAGTGTTTGGCCAGGCTGTGAAGTTAGGAGCCTGGAACTTAACCCAGGTCTCTGACTTGGGCCAATCAATTGTGCTATTACTGGCTGCCTTCTCAATACATCAGCAGGAGGCTGGATTGGAAATGAAGATCTGGCTTAATCCCAGTAACTATAGGATCTGGACGTTGCAAGCTGTGACTTCACCCCCCACACCATAGAGCCTGCTCCTGTTTGGCTCGATCGAGAATAAACCATTCGTAAAAATAGCAGGGGTCTAGGTCCTTCCTGTGTAGACTCCTTTCGATTTAGAAAAATTCTTCTTATGTTCTTGCAGGTTCCATAGATGAAACCTTTGTGCTTCAAAACTAGATCTACACAGCATTACAAACCAAGAGAGACTTTCTTCAGAGCTATTGAGTTCCCTCTTTCAATGACCAGTGTTAACAATGATAAAGTCTTGCTGACAATATAATACAATCTGGTTGGACTTATATAATTTTCCTGAAAAGCACTTTAAGACTACCCATCAATGGATTTATTACTTTTAAACATTTTGAAGTGCTACTTTAAAATTTGTGGATTTTTTTCTAGCAAATTAATTTAAATATATCAGAAGTTTTGTGAATATCATTTAGATGTAATCATTGTTTATATCAGTTTAAAATTTAAATGAAGTGCATATTACATATAAGTTATTATATATCCACATGACAAAATATTATGTATCAATTATAGGAAATGCATATCAAAAGGTAATAAGAAAATGTACAGTATGAGCACACACATAAAATTTGTATAGAGAAAAATAAGGTATGGAGATACCTAGCTGGGATAGTTGGGTAAGAAAGAATTGAGTGATTTGCATTGAAGTTGTTCACATTCATTGCTCTGCAATTTTGAGGACTGATATTATGAATCCACATGCATTGAAATAATAGGCTCAGAGAGAGCATTAAGTTTTTACCATTAGAGAAAGAGCCAATGGTTAAAAAAAAAAAAATCTGTGAATCCTTCTGGGAAGGTGGGGGAATGAGGAAGCCATCCTTCCTGATGTATCTCTTGGGGCTTCCATGTAAGCCTAGTCTCCTGGCCTATTCTTAAGGCTCTTGTGCTTGGACAGAAGAAAATCTACATTAGATCTTGCGGTCTGCCAGTTTAGAATTAACCTCGCTTAAAAAAAAAATAAGAGTTTGAGTAAATTTGTAGGATAGAAGGGTTCTTAATATTCAGAACTTTTGAGATTACTTTCAGGATGCAATTGCTAAGGCAGGCATCCATGGGCACTGGAAAAGTACAGAGCCTGTGTGCTATCTGTCAAACCCATCGAGGCCAATCATTTAGCTCAAACGTCATCTCACATTGGCTGCTGCTTCACCTGGTTGGCCAGGAGGAGATGCTCTGGAGTCAGAATGCTGGTTCTGAGCCCCTAATCTTCACAGTTGACAGCTGTGGAACTCCAGCGACAGCTTCCTAACATCCTTCAGCTTGAATTTTCTCACTTATAAAAGAGGCTCATCAGTCCTATTTTGTAAGGTTCTAAAGATTAAATGAGATAATGCATATAAAGTGCTTTGGACAGTGCACATTGAAAGTATTCAAGTGAGGTAGGCTCTTATGTATTCACATTAGATTTTTGTATTATGAGTTTATTTCATTTATTATCAATTTACTTGGAAAAATCATTGCTTATCTTGTTAACTGAAATCCCAGTGCATAATGAGTATTTCAGTAATTGACTTATGACAGAATGAACACATAGACATCTTATTAGAAGCAACCTTTATATCAGGATTCTAAACGTGTGGACTGAGACTAATCAATCCAGTATGGATTCATTGGGAGGATGTTAGTGGTGGGAGAATCTCTTAGCAGACTGGACCCACCAAACAAGAAAAGTGCAATGGTGAGAGTAGATTTAAAAAAAAAAAGGCTGAGGAGCACCACAGTAGTGGAATTGGAGCTAAATTCAGAGCTTAATTGAATCCAGGGCATAAATGGGCAATAAGACAAAATAAGCGGGTATAGGAAGCAGGGATATAGCTCAAATGCAGAAGACAGGCAGGCAGCTGAGCAAATTGTGGGAATAAATGGTATGCGTGAGAAGCAGGTTATGTAGGGCTTTTGCAAGTAAGCATGGATAGGACTTTGGTGATCGAAATTAATCAAAGATAATCAGAATTTGAAAGAGCAGAAGAAGGAAAGGGTCCCAGGAAGAATGTCTCCCAGGCCTTTGTCAAATACTGCTGGCACTGAATGCATTCCTTGAACACTCCGGCTAGACGTGCACGTGGCATTTAGCTTCCACAGTCTTGCGTTTTGATGAGCTTGTTTGAGTACTCTTGGTGGTAAGCAGAGCTATCTTCCAACAGGATGGCTTTGCCTAGTTTTGTGAGAACAACACCATGGAAGAAAAAGCTGAAGCAAATCCTACCCCAAAGGTCATTTGCAAAAGGATTTTAACAATTGGAAGTTGGTATATCCTTGACTACCAATATGTCCCCAAACAAATCCCCTTAAAAAGTTTATAATTCCAATTCTAATTACTTTAGTTCCTTCCTTCCTTCTTTATTTCTTTCCATCTCTTCCTTTCTGCTTGCCTTTTTTTTTTTGCCTTTTCTTTCATTTCATCACATTATTACTGACATGTATCTTGTTTAATTTAGCCAAATATATTGTCTTAATCTTGGGCCACCCACATGTTTATGTAGATTGTTTATGCCTAGCACTGTAAGCTCTCAGGAGATAGGTACTGTTTGTTGGGGTATTTGTATCTCCCCCTTGGATTTGAACAGTGATACTTGTACCTAACTTTGCAAAATCCAATGATATTGCTAGGAATTCTGCTTTTTTCTTCTCCACTAATCATACTTTCATGAATAATTATAAAAATCTTTTCAATTAACTTTGATTTAAAAATATTATGTGCCAGAAAGTGTTTCTAAGAGATTGCTGGGAAGCAATAGAAACGTTTGTCACAACCTCTAAAAAGTTATGAAATCAAATAATGAGAGGGTAATTAAAATGTTAGTGTTACTATTGGTGAGGGTGGAAGTGACTTAACTGATCATGGCCATGAGCAGGACATAATTTTTCCCTTTGATGAATGTTGTTATTTCCTGATATGCCTAGGTTTCAAGAAGTTACTGAGGCTAGGAGTTGCATTGTGACTTCATCAACTATGACTCATATGGAATACACCCTTTCTATCCAAACCTTTTGTTCTGGTAAGATTTTGACTTCCCAGGTCCTGGCAATAATGAGAGCCAAACACAAGTATATAACATTATATGCCAGGCATCACAATGTTTGATGCTCTGTTGTTTTTCAGGCAAAAGTTATTTGAGATAATCCTTGACTTTAAGAATGATTGTAAGTTTTTTTTTTTAAATTGAAGTTGTAGAAATGAGAAATTTTCAAGTAAAATAAATCATGAGTTAAACAAGAGTAATTTGGCAAAATAACATGAATAAAGTATCCTAATATGGAGGTAATGTTTCTCTGAGTAATGCAGAAGCACAGAAGCACCAAAAAGCAAGCTTTGCCTGGCACAATGGCATTTCCTCCAACAGCCCAAATGGAAAGGCCAATCCAACACTCCTGGCGTCATGAAAATCCTGATTCGACTATCAGATGTCTTACATTCAATATTTCAGATTCAGGCATGTTCTGTAACCTGTAGCACACTTTTTCTCACTTAATATGCCTTGTAATGGGCAAAGATGATATTTTTACAGTGTCCAGATATAGCTTAGAAGCTTACTATGTACATAATACTTAAAAACAACTTGTAGTTAAGTTATTGAATCCAACATTTTTTGAGGTAAGGAAACATGTTTAATGATTTATTCCAATGCAGCCATACCATGTGAAATTGCAAAGACCCGCTAATACATCTTATGTTCGGTGCCTACCGTCCTTGTCGTTTTCACCTGTGGAAACAGCTTTCCCTAATTGACTGTTAATATCAAAAGAGGTTTCTGTCTTCATAGATAGCTCTTGTGCCACCAGGCTGCATGGGTTTGGGTAATCTAGAGAACAGACTTCGATGGGGAGGAAAACATAGGAACAGAAAACTGACAAAGGTTTTGAATATGGATCAGAAAGGTATTTAAAGTCAATACAATAAAAGTTATTCTGTAATCAGTAAATGTCAATATAATTAGATTTTTCCCCCTATTTACTTCCTGTGTCATGCAATGGCGGGAAATGGGAAAAAAAAAAAGTCAAGGACTCCATCAACCAGATGGTTCTCAAGTTATTTTCCCCTTGCTGTTGTTTACAAGATTCTCCTTTAACAAAACATGACTCGCAGATTCCAGTGAGACCAGCAGTTCTCGGTGGGAAGGAGAGAGGAAAGCCGGGAGGAAAGCTCACATCATAAGCCTTTATTATGCACATTATTATGCCTCATTAATTAACCCAACCACTGTCCTAGTGACGTTCTGGGCTCACTTCACAGGAAAAAATCAGTCTGGATTGCCAAGTTAAATAGACAATTACAGGAAGATCAAATTATGCCTACATTGCATTCTGTCAGGGCACCAAGCCAACTTCATGTCAAATTCATAAGCCTGGAATATCCTCACTAAAAACAGCCCTGAAGAACCAACGTCACCAGCCATTTGACGTCTACACAGAGGATGTATTGATCTTTCCTTAGCTTCCTTTCTCAGAATCACATAATAGACCGGGGGAGGGCTTTCTGAGCATCTTACCTTATACCATACACCAGCTGGCTCAATCCTTTGTTATGTCCAATAAAGCACAGCAAGCCAGGGAAAAACACCCCACCTACGGAGTGTGCGTTCCTCCTCCTTGTTGGCAGCTGCCAGACCTGTAGAAAGAGCTTGGGCATTTAAAAATAACAATGCAGACTCCTAGGTAGATTTTCTATGTGGACTCCTCGGTGACAGCCGT